ATTGTGCGTGATAATCTGGCACTCAGGCAACAATACATTGGTTTCTTTGGGTCCACAGAAGTGTCTCCGCTCTAAAGCTTCATCTCCTGGTGTACACGGCTCCCATGCACTCTACTGCAGCCTCTGGCGACGGCGATAAGGCTGGAGGGGGGGGGCATATAAACCCAGGAGGCTTTCAGGTGACGTAATAAGTTACTTCTTGGCCACCAGCAAACGTTGTCACACAAACTGCAGTGGAGGAAGAAAATCAGTTTTCTCTGCATGAATTTATGTTAAAGTGAAGTCTGTGTGCAAAGCGACGGTCAACAAACACTGTGAGAAGATCAGAAGACGATCAGGTCCTGCACGTATTTGGCCTCCTGAAGGCGTCGTATTTGGCAACAAGCCGGACATTTTTTTTCTTCCTATTGATTCAGTAGCACCACTGAATCCATCAGCGCACACCAACCCCCCCCCCCCCCCGGCCGCCCAATGGCTTCCCAGAAAAAAAACAGGAATATGACTGTAACTTAAGCAGTAGGTGTCAGCTGCGTTAAGCGGCTTTTGTGGCTCATTGGGATTCAATAGAACTTTCTGTCCCTTTGGTGCCACCTGCAGGGCCCCCGAAGGTCCCCGGACCACACCCTGAGAACCCCTGCTTGGAGTGAATTACAGATTGTCTGCATCTGGAAAGACGTATGGAAAATGCTCGACAACTGACAAGTCGCTATGCATCACCAGGGGTGTGTTTCTAATGTGCGTGTGTGTGTGTGTGTGTGCAGCGGTATTAGTATAACTCTTAAGATATTAAGCCCTGTCATGTTCGGTAAACAGCCATTCATCACGCATTCCCTCCCTGCGATGGTACCCGCAAGATCCAATCCATTAGCCAACGCTGGGTGTCCACTCATGTGTGTGTGTGTGCGTGTGTGTGCGTTCGTGCGTGCATCATAATTCATTATAATGCTTAAGGAGTTCTGACGTATGTGAAAGTGCACCTGCATTTGAAAGAGAGAGGGGGGGGGGCGGCGTTGCATGGAGAGGATATTTACATTTTGAGCAGCAGTCCAGTAATATTCACGTGATAAGAAATGATCACACCGACCGGAATCTGCACCATGGACACGGCATGTTGCTGCTGCGTGTGCGTGTGTGCGTGTGCGTGTGTGTGTGTGTGTGCGAGTGTAACAAGGCAGAGGACTGATGGATGATCAGCTGAATGGATAAAGACGCGGCACAGATAAACACCTCTTCTCGCCCGCTGCGAGACGCCGAGTCGCCTCCTCTGCCCGGCGATACGGGGGAGAGCGAAGGCCGACGCCGCCGTGTCACCGGCTGCTTCTCGTTCCCCCCGCTGGACGTGAGGAGCTGCTTCTACAGTGTGCAGCACGCTTCACGCACCAGGCAGTGCTGAAGATCAGCTGGCGTCATGTACCTGTCGGCGGTGAGCTGGAGATCAGCCTGGAGACGGACACCACTGATAAGACGGGAGATACCTGCTATCTTCCCAAGTCTGTTCCTTTTTAAACGGGGAGCGATCTCTTGGAAAACTTCACCGATCACACGATCGTTGTCCACTGCGATATTAGAATAAATGGAGGCAGAGCAAAAGTTAAGCTCAAAGCGCCACTCACGGACAGTTAGGTCTTCCAATTTGAAATAATAAAATCCTAATTACCGACTCTTGGTCACGTTGCCTTCAGTTAGGATACGATTCTTCCCTCCAATTTGTCTCGGCGATCACACGCTGTACAGGATAACCGGAAAAACACACAACAGCGATATTATTGTGTGTTTTTAACGCACCGCTATCGGATCGGTACGGAATCAGTACCGGGAAGGACAGAAATGTATCAGAGCCCGGCGGCGATCCTTCACTACCGCCAAGTGTGGCCAAGGCATCATGTGTCAAAGCCGCATTTTCTCTAGTGACCAGCAGGGGGCGACTCCTCTGCTCCCATAGACGTCTATGAGGAAATGACTACTTCTCTGTAGTGACCAGCAGGGGGCGACTCCTCTGCTCCCATAGACGTCTATGAGGAAATGACTCTACTTCTCTGTAGTGACCAGCAGGGGGCGACTCCTCTGCTCCCATAGACGTCTATGAGGAAATGACTCTACTTCTCTGTAGTGACCAGCAGGGGGCGACTCCTCTGCTCCCATAGACGTCTATGAGGAAATGACTCTACTTCTCTGTAATGACCAGCAGGGGGCGACTCCTCTGCTCCCATAGACGTCTATGAGGAAATGACTCTACTTCTCTGTAGTGGTACTGTTTATTCCCTCAGTAAACATTGTGAACATGAGTTTATGGTCTCAGTCTCTAGTTTCAAGTCTTCTTCACACAGCGTGATGTTCATTTAGTGAATGATGGTCCATTTAGAGTCAAACAGGCCATAAAGCAGGGCACGCTGTCTCTGAGTCGCTCCCCCCCCACATCCCAAATCAAATCACTTCTGTTCATCGGCCGCTGTAATAACAACGTGGTGACACCCCTGAAGATGGCGGCGGTGAAATCACTGACCTTGAGTCTTGAAAGCGTTGGTCCCCAAACCTATAAACCCTCTATCAGATCAGAACATCTCCTGGTTGAGCAACAGCTTTCATGCGAAGGTCTCTTTCTTATCCAAATCAACACACGAACACGCGCATGACGCAGCAGCCCGACCGGAGGGTTTTTTAGTCATCGAAAGAAGGGCAAAGAGCGGCACGCAGCCATCAGTCGCTTGGGAAGCGTGTTTCTACTCCCAACCGGCTTTGGTGAGGCTTTGATTCAATAAGCCACTGATTGATCAGCCCTTAGTAGACAGTGATGCAGATCGACTAACGAATCAGCGCATTAGACCCCCTGCTGAGTGCCTGCCCTTTTCCAGACAGTTTCAACTGAATGCTTCTGAGATGGATCCGTGCAGTAAAAGGTCATTTGGATGCTGGTGTGTTCTGCCCATGACATGCATGTAGTTTACTTTGCCCCCTCCCCCCCCCTCCCCCCCACCGGTTGCCTGGGAGCCAATGGACGTTTGCATGGTTTATTTTTAAGATTCATCACCCTTCTGAAACACTGCAGCACCGACCAGAAATGACCAGATGACCAAAATTAGCCCCTCACGGCTTCATGGAAAGGTCGGGTCTGGATTTTGTTTTTCTACCTTTGGTATGAGAGGGTTCAGCACTTCTTGCTTTGACACTGAATATAAATTGTGCACTTGTACACAAACACAGTGTTTTTTGCCAGAGAGACTGTCTGCAGGAGGGGACACCCATTCTGTCTCCACCGCATCACCACCTACCTGAAAGCTAAACACTAAACCTCTTATTTCTGTCTTTGTTCCTGTTCTTATCTACATACAGCACTCCCATAAGGGGGGGGGTGTTAAAGACACCACTGCTGAAGTTTGCTATTCTCAGAGGAGATAACAGGGATCAATTCTCGTAGATCGCCTTCACAGCTTTCAGTGAGTTCACGGCGTGCAGCGTCTGAAAACACGCACACACACAAAATAAAGGGCTTAGAAACTCACACTAGCAGCGTCTAAATAATCTCTCCGTCTGAAGGCTCGTGGTATATTGCCTCCAGGCGTCATGTCGAGTGCATTAGCGGAAGCAAAGAAAAACACCCTCCCTGTCTGCGTTTGTCCAATTGTTTTTGCGGCGTGACAAAAAATGCAAATCCCCCGCCATAAATCCGGTGTATCGCGGGTCTAAATTAAAACACTTAAATCACGCGAGTGATATTTCGTCCTCTGCTTGTAGCGTGAGAGCTTGTTATTGCTGCAGGAGATCAGCTGAAGGCCCGTGTGTGTTTCTCCAGCCTGGTGAGACAGAGGACACAAAGCCTCCCTGCACTTGGCGTGAAGATAAAAGCTTTTGCGTCGCGGTGATTGCTACCTCTGCACGGTGACGCTCCCTCCCTGCTCCTCTGCTCTGCGTTGGTCCATCCAAAGCATCCGCCCCGATCCCCCCCACACCCGTGGGACCACCCTCACCCCAAACAAACAGCAAGACAAAGTGGGGGTGAAAATGTGCCCAAACAATCTGCTGCTCGTAATCACGGATCCGGTCTTTCTCTCGGGCGGCTCACACCCTCATTTCTGTTTCTGTCGACAGGTGACCTGCAGCTGGTTGGCGAGAGGAGGCTGCAGAGAGGAAGAGGATGAAGAGGAGTAGGACCTGTGCGGTTCCACGAGCTCATTGAGAGGCCTTCGCTCTGCTGCCTTTTGATTTGGAAGGAATAAAGGGGACTTTGCTTAAAGAGGCCCAGCGGGAGTTCATCACTTCAGCGTTTCTTATTCGCCTCCGTGGGAGTAAATCATGGCCGTGCACTAAACACAGAAAAACGCCGTTCGTCCCTTTGACCGTTGGCTCGCACGCCGCCCCTCCCCCCGGGGTTTGGCCCTCGGCCATGGAGAAGACGTACTCACTGACTGCCCACTACGATGAGTTCCAGGAGGTGAAATACGGCGGTCGCTACAGCAGCGACATCCTCAGCAACGGCATGACCCTCCACCTGGGGGGCAGCCTGGACCGCCACGCGGTGCGCAGCGGCGGCGGTGGCGGCCGCGGTGGGACAATCTCCAACGGCCGAAACCGAGACCCGAGCGGTGGCGGCGGCGGCGGTGGGGGGAGGTTGGGTCGGGGGCTTCCCCGGTGGAGCCGGAGGGAGATCTGCCTCCTCTCGGCGCTGGTCTTCGCGGCGGGCATGTGCGTCATCCTCGGCAGCATGCTGGCCCTCAAGTACATCTCGCTGGAGGCGCAGCAGGACCCGCAGTGCCAGCAGGACTGCCAGCGCCGGCGCACGCTGCTGCGGGCGGCGCGCTTCGTGCAGGCCAACATCGACCCCACCATCCAGCCCTGCCAGGACTTCTACTCCTTCGCCTGCGGCGGCTGGCTGAGGCGCCACGGCATCCCCGAGGACAAGCTCAGCTACGGCATCATCACCGCCATCGGGGAGCACAACGAGGAGAAGCTGCAGCGCCTCCTGCTGGAGCCTGTGCGGCGCGGCGGCGCGGACTCGGCGGAGCGCAAGGTCAAGGAGTTCTACCGCTCCTGCGTGAACATCCGGGACATCGACCGGCTGGGCTCCGACCCCATGACGGAGGTGATAGACGGCTGCGGGGGGTGGGACCTGGCGGGGGCTCCCCCGGGGGCGGCCGGGTGGGAGCGGGAGGGCGCCCCGCAGAGGCCGGACTTCAACGAGCTCCTGTACAAGACGCAGGGCGTCTACAGCACCGCCGTCTTCTTCTCCCTCACCGTCAACGTGGACGACAAAAACTCCTCCAGGAACGCCATCAGGGTGAGACGGGGCGGGGGGGGGGGCGGCGTTGCCTGGTGGAGGGTCCTCATGAAACGCAGTCACGTGACACTCTCAGCGTGGCTTTTAGGAGCAGCGCCGTAGAAATAATACTAAATCCTTCCGTTTATTTCTCACAGAGGAATTTGCGCCAAACAGCAAAAAACATTAAAGTTCAGTAATATCTGATGCTTAATACACAGGTAATGACGGTGGCGTTGACTTAATACCTGCTGTGTGTGCACAGATCGATCAGGAGGGGCTGACGCTGCCCGAGAGGAGCCTCTACCTGGGACAGGACGAGGACAGTCTGAAGGTGAACCTGCTTCACCTGCCACCTTCTTCAACGCCACCCCCACCCTCTTCATACAGTCTCCCCCTTTTTCCTCACAACCTTTCTTTACATCTAGTCTCAAATAGACCATAAAGCAGGGTATGCGTTAGGGCGGGGCTTACTATGATTGACAGGTCTCTGCCAGAGACCTATACCGGTGTCTCTCACGCTTCCTCAGTCCAAATATGGTCACTTCCTGTTGATTGGTTGCAAAAGGACAAGGTGGTTAAAACGGTGAACTCAAGGCCTCATAACATCAGTCCACAAACCACTGGGTGACTTTGCTTCCTGCAGACAGTCTATGCCCGACCCACACCCTTTCCTCCCCCCCTTCCTCCCTCCCTCCCTCATCCCCTCCATCACTCCTCCGTCTGTCCTTCTCCTTATCAATCCACCTGTTGCCCTCTTGTCTCCCGCTGTGCTTTTGTTATCCCGTCCACTCGACCACATGTCCCCTCCCCCTCCTTGCCCCTCCCCGGTCACCGACCGTTGCCGTCCTCCCGTCTGTTAGCGCTGATGTCGTTGTGCGTCTCAGATCCTGGCGGCGTACAAAGCGCTGATGGAGCGCCTGCTGAGCATGCTGGGAGCTCACAACGCCACGCAGAAGTCCAAGGAGATCATACAGCGGGAGACGCGTCTGGCCAATGTGAGCGTGTTTGTTCATGTGCGTGCATGCGTGGGCCTGCGTGTGTGTGTGCGGGTGTGTGTGTGTGTGTGTGTGTGTGTGTGTGTGTGTGTGTGTGTGTGTGTAAAAATCTCCTTCCTCCCCAGATCACTGTGTCAGAATATGACGACCAAAGAAAGGACATCAGCACCATGTATAACCGCGTCACCCTCCGGCAGTTACAGCGCATCGCTCCCAGTGTGAGTGCTGCACGCACACACACACACACACACACACACACACACACACATGCACACACGCTGCACTCACACAAACCCATCACTTTTGTGTGAGTGCAGCGTGCATTTCGGGTAGAAGCAGACGTGATGGGTTAAGATTTGAACTCCAACTAAGCCTTTTAAGTAGTGTGGCAAATGTGTGTGTGTGTGTGTGTGTGTGTGTGTGTGTGTGCGTGCGTGCGTGCGTGCGTGTGTGTGTGTGTGTGTGTGTGTGCGTGTGCGTGTGTGTGCGTGTCGGGGAGGTTGAATGAACAAAGGGAGTAAAAAGGAAAAGAGGAGATGAGGAGACATCAGTGGGAGCTGGAAGTGATGGAGGGAGGAGAGGGGGAGACACGGGGGAGACGCAGGCAGTGTGTGTGGGGGTGGGGGAATGTGGGGTTACTTGTTGTAAACAAACAAATAAAGATGGAGGACGAGAGACAAGAGAAGAGAAGAAGTAGATCAGAGGAGAGAGAAACCAGACGAACGGCTTCGCTGACTTTCTGCAATTAAAAATATATATACATATATATTTATTTATATATATATATATTCTGTTCAATGGGGTCGATATTGAAAACGCATCACGTTTTGCTTTTTTTGTTCAGTTTGTATTTAACTTTTCAGTGTTTTTTTTTAAATTTTTAATAATAATTCTGACTCTAAACCTAAAACCATTCTTGCTCCTCTCAGCTTCACTGGAAACGCCTGCTGGACCGAATCTTCTACGACAACTTCTCAGAAGACGAGGAGATCGTGGTGCTCGCCACCGACTACATCCAGCAGGTCTCTGACATCATCAAGACCACCTCCAAGAGGTAAGGGAACAAGGGGGGGGGGGAATTAATTAAATTAGACGGGGGCATTTTTTTTCACGCTCTACTTTTTGAGCGTGAGTAAGCGCTTTTGTTTGAGGTTCTTTGTGTGCGTGTGTGTGTGCGTGTGTGTGTGTGTGTGTGTGTTTCCTTGGGTTCAGGACTGCCACTTTAGTTTTGGGCTACGATGCAATGTCACCAGGTGTATGGATTGTTTTTTTGAGGGCTGCTGTGTGTGCGTGTGTGTGTGTGTGTGTGTGTGCGCGTGTGTGCGTGTGTGTGTGTGTGTGTGTGCGCGTGTGTGTGTGTGCGTGTGTGTGCGCGTGTGTGTGAGTCTGTTCGGTGAACTTCCAATTCTTCTGCAGCTGATTATTATTGATCTACAGCCACACCGATCCACCGCCTGCAGACGCAGACAAGACGCACGCGGATGAACAATCGCGCACACAAACGCACTCACACAGAAACGCGCACGCTTTCCTTCCCTGTCTCGTTGTTGACAGCCTCCAGGGCGGCGGCCTCCCGGGCGTCACGGCGGCTGACAGCTCGCCAATGGTCGCTGGGCTGTGAACACAGACGCACACAGGCAGACGCACACAGACAGACGCACACAGGCAGACGCACACAGGCAGACGCACACAGGCAGACGCACACAGACAGACGCACACACACAGACGCACACAGACAGACGCACACAGGCAGACGCACACAGGCAGACGCACACAGGCAGACGCACACAGACAGACGCACACAGACAGACGCACACAGACAGACGCACACAGGCAACTCGTCTTCTACCTTGAGCGTAACTTTTATTACATTTGCAAGCTGTGATGATTTAATTCGGCTGCGTTTTGATTTGCGTGTGAATCACTGGAAGCTGAAGATCAGCGTGTTTTTGCCGTGTATGAACATAATGCCGTGACTGTCTCCAACCTGGTTTCCCCGGTGTGACTTTTTACCAACATACATCATTATTTTTGCGTGTTTACCCTGTGACTGTTTCAACATACACTATTACTTTGACCTTTTCTTTCCCTACTGTGCTGTGACGTGAGGTTTTTGGTTTGCAGCTAAATTGACTTGTCGGTGATGGAAACACCATTTAAAACATGCTGAATGACATGAAATGCAAAACACATGAGGTCACGCGTGTAAAGGAAACCGGCAGCGTCATGAGGGAAGAAGCGGCACAACCTTTGGTCTCTGTTCGCATTGATCATTGCAGGATGTTGTTGACGTCTTTTGCCTTCGAAGGGCAGAGGATTTTTGATATTAATCTCAAAACGGTACAACAGCTTTTTAATGATTTATTTGATGTTTTAATGACGTACTGTACTTTTTAATTTCACCCACTGTCCTAAAGACGCATTTCACAGCTCTGCAAAGAGCTGAGAAAAACATATTATCCTTTTCTTTGACATTTTAATAACCCGAGCTTTTTCATGCCATGCTAGTGACCATGCTATCTCCTTTTATGTCAAACCTAATGATTTATTTAGCATTACTTTGTCACCACATATTATAGAAGTAAATATTTTACATCGTGTTTGTTTTTGTGCATTTAATTGCCGCAGAGCGGCATCATTTTTACTCCTATTTCTTTCCTCTCGCACCTTTTACAGGATCCGTTAGAGATCATTTTTCACTTCATTCTTACCGCGCTGACTTCGTCAGCCGCGTCCCAGGATAAGATCGTAGCTCCGCTCCCGTCAGCGTGAACGTCTCTGCTCGTTCCTGAGCGCCGTGGTGGTGAAGAGGGTTTACTCCCTATCTGCTCTCCTGCAGCTCTCCCGCTCTTATTTTGCCGTGAAATACATTTTTCAAACACAACACAACGCGCATACAGTTGACTGGTTTAATTGAGGGATTTATAATCCCCTTTGTGGAAGCTGCTCGTGTCCATCAGCTCGGGTTCACTTCTCCTCTGTGATGCTCCGTCTCCTCCCTCCTTGTTCAGGAACCTTCTCTTTGAGATGTCTCCTCATCCATCCCCTCCGATGGCTTTAGAAATAGATTCCAGGTTTCCAATCATAGTCTCTTCTTCCCTTCGTGGTCTGACGTTCCGTCTTCTCTTCTCTTCTTTCACTCGGCTGCTCCCGAAAAGTTTAAATGGACTTCTTATTTTCAGAGCCACGTTGTTGGGGATTAAACTTCTTCATTATTGGTTACTTATTGGTTACTGCTAAGATGATAATGTATTAAAAACACTCACACATGCGCCTGGACCCACAAGATTATAATGTTTGTTTTTAAGTGATTTAAAACACCAACGTGAGGTTCAAAAACATCTAATGATATTTAATCATTAAAACATACGAGTTTCTTTAATACAGCATGGACGCTTTAGGGCGGGGCTTACTGTGACTGACAGGTCGACGTTTATGGCTTCTCTATGCCACTAATCCGCATTCCAATCATGCCAACGGGCCTTCAAAGCGACGTCGTGACTGCGTCTCAAATACAGTCTGTGATCGACGCTCGTGGGACTCGGATCGGATGAAGCCGCTTCTCGTCGTTTCTGACGTGAAACCTGCTTCATCCTCGCGGGTCTGGTTCCTCCTCGGAGACGGAGGACTCGTCCCCTGTGACTCGGCGTTTTCCCTTCACCAAACTGTCCAAGTATTTGGACATAAACCGGCGTTCCATAGTTTGACACTGTGACCCGATGAGACCACAGCGATTGATACTCATCCCTTTTTGTGTCGTGGTTTAAAGAAAAGTGCTCACATTTCACTGACGCGTTCGAGGTCAATCATCTCCGGGAAAATTCAATGTCCCTCATTGGGTTTGCAGAAAAAGATTCTTGTTAAGTTGGAGGAAGGGCGACGCTTTGCGCTCGGAGAGGTGAAAAGGCGACGGCGGCGCAAAAGGCTGTCGGACCCTTTCGTCTTCTGGGACGACGTGATGGGCGGTGAAACTTCCTCCATTCTTCTCTGTTTCACTTCCCGCTTCCTCTGTTGTCCGCCTCAATGGCGCTTTGTCTTTGTCCTCTTTCACCCGTTTCTGTTTTTCTTCTTTTTCCGTTACTTCCTGTTAAAAAAACCCAGCTATTTCTCCTCATCCGTGTCCACCCTCCTCCTGTCCCGTCACCTCCCTTCCTTCTCCTCCTCCTCACATCATTTGTCTTCTCCCGTCTTCATTCAGGTTGCCATTGACAACTCGATCCGTCGGTGGCACTCCATCCCCCCCTCGGGCCCCATCTCAATTTACGGGCGTCTATCGACCTCCCCCTCCTCATTATCCCCCCCCCCCCCCTCCACCGCCTCCTCCTCCTGCGCCTCATTGTCCACCTCCACCTCCTCCTCCTCGCTGTCCACCACCTCCTTCCCTCCCATGTTCTCCCATTGGTGGTTGTTCCCATCATACAAGTCTTCTGACAGGAGCACTCGCACCTCCACCTCCTCATCCTCCATCCATCTTCTCTTTTCTTCCCCCTGCCTCCAGTGTGTGTCTGTGTGTGTGTGTGTGTGTGTGTGTGTGTGTGTCTGTGTGTGGGTGTGTGTGTCAGTGTGTGTGGTCCTTACGCTCTTTGATGACTACAGCCCATCCCATTAGGCAGATGAGCAGGGAACGCACAATGACAACACCAGCGTTTCTCTCGCCGCTAACTCCATCACCCTCAACCGAGTGTGTGTGTGCGTGCGTGTGTGTGTGTGTGTGTGTGTGTGTGTGTGTGTGTGTGTGTGTGTGTGTGTGTGCGTGTCGAGTCATTTGGTGCGTGTTACTTTCTCCTCAGCGGTTTGAAGGCCGGTGACAGAAGGCGTTTGTCACGGTGCGTTTCGGTGGACATTGTGCGTTCGCCCCCCCCCCCCCCCGCTGAGTCCTACACACACACACTCAGCAGGTGTGAAGTCACCTGGTCGACTCCAGCAGTCGAGGTTTGAGTGCCGAGCGGGCGACTTTGTATCTCAGGGAGAAGTCATCCTGCAGCTTTTCAAAATAAACTTCTGTTTTCAGAGGAGGCACCTGAATCACGTTCAGGGAAATATCCTAAAATAATGTGTTACTTTGGGCTAAGATCTTGAAATATTCGATTTGGATAAGGAAAAGGTTGTGGTTTGTTTCAGTACTAACTGTACTAACAGCTGTTAGTACACGACGCCGTTAAAAGGCCTCAGAAATAACAAGTAGAAACGAGGTCGCCTGCCTGGTTTTCTTTTTCTCTTTCACTGTTATTCTTTCATAGATGACGATATCTTCCCCTCGCTGTCCCTCCGAAACGACCACGTGAAGCTCGTAATCGAGGAGTCCCCCCCCTCCCCCTCCATTACCCCCGGGGTCGTTACCTGCGGTGACGTGTGGACGCCGTGCGAGGGGACCGCGTCTCTTCGTCTTCCTAACGAGCCCCATTAAAGCCCATCCGGCTAATGAGCCTTCGCCCGGTGCTCCGGCGATTAAGACCCGCTGCTCCATCCATTACGGCACAAAGCCAACACCAGCGTGTACAAGCGGGACCATGTGGGGGGGGGCGTTAGACGCTGGTTCATCATCAGTCACAACGAAGCGTCATGTAGTGTTGATGCTGTCGGTGGTGGAGGACCAGGGTCCCTTCAGGAAGCCTCTCAGCAGAACATCTCACTGATTGACGTCCTTAGAGGCTCCTCAGAGGCTCCTCAGAGGCTCCTCAGAGGGTCCTCAGAGGGTCCTCAGAGGGTCAGGACTCACCCGAGAGCTTGTGGAGTTGTGGACCAGATCGGAGGTGACGACAATGAGCACAAACAAGTCCGTGCTCTGGTGCTCCTCCTTGAAGCAGTAAATTGAATGCAGGCCCAGTTGATGCACATCTGGATGTTCTCGTGCAAAATAAGCGCGCTTTCATTTGAAGGTGTCACTTCCAACGCTGTCTCGATACGAACACCTCCCACTGATATCAGCGACGATATCAGCCACGCGTTTGATTCCAGCTTTAGATCGATGTCACCACACTTCGTCAAAGACGCCTCCAGTGAAATACCCCCCCCCCCCCCGCCCCCTGCCCCCCCCCGACGCACGCTGACGTTTCACCATTATCATATAGACGACTTCCTTCGCGCGCGCAGACGCACACGTGCTGTCGTCCACAAAAGAAGAAACACAAACAAGCGAAGCAGCTGATCGAGTCTCCTCGTTCGTCCTCCTGCTTCGCCCCCTCCGCCCCCCCCCCGTCAATCAGATCCACCAGCGCCTCAGGGCCTCGGGGGAGAGGGAGGGGAGGGGGTGGGTTAGCTGCTGCTGTTGCCGAGGCACTTTCAATTTAATATCTGTCATGCAGATACGGGAGAATTAGGACGAAAACAAAAATCACATCATGTCTTGAGGTCGGCGTGGAGCCTCACAGTGGGGGGGAGCGGGGGGCTTTTTTTTTCCCCGCAGGGCGAGAGTAGATGTGTGGGCACCCAGTGGGGGCGCGAGGGCACACCAGCGCCCCGTCGTCTGGTGGGGGGGGACACAGCTTGAATGCATAAGTGAGCGATCCATTTTCTTTCCTCACGCTCAACTTTTTAAAATGTGTTTCTTAATTTTAGTTTTTTCCCTCAGCGCATCAGAGGGGGGGCGGGGGGGGGTCGCTCTGAAGAGCTGGCGGGCCCGTCGCTGCTCTCCATCACTGTCTGCTTCTTGTTTTCCTCTCTCAGCGGCCCCCGAGGTTCAGATGGTGGGGAGGGGGGGGGTCTGAACCAGATGGAAGGAGATAATAGATCCTCACTCGTCCTAACCCTAAATACAGTAACGCACACACACACACACACACACACCAAAAGTACGCTGCGTTCTTACCTGTTTGTGGCCGTAACTCTGCACGTTCATTGATGATGTAATCAGGAAGCAGGAAGTATAAAGACGTGCGTTTCATGTTGCGTCAACGTGTTACATACGTGTTACATACGTGTTACATACGTGTTGCATATGTGACAATAAACCGTTTCTGATTCTGACTTTAAGGGTTCGTCGGGTTTGTACCAGAGGTGTCAAGTATCGAAGTACAAATACTACTTCGGGTATCTATACTTTACTGGAGTATTTATTTTTCAGACCACTTTTTACTTTCTGCTCCTTACGTTTTAAAAACGGCCTCGTTACTTTCAGCTTGTCGCAGTTCAAAAACACAAAGACAAAAAAAACCCGTCCAGATAAACGTCGCCATGCGGACACAGTGGATGTCATTGTGTTTGGATGAGAATATAAACATTGAGCATCCAGACACCCGGTTGGTTTTCTCCGCGATGCGCCGGCAGATCGGAGCGACACCGGGTGGGAAAAGTGGTGGAAAGTTGGTATTTATGGGGGGGCCTCCTCCTCTTCCTCCTCCTCCTCCTCCACCTCCTCACGCAGAGTCCATGTAACGTTAGATGAGCATCTTCGTGACCGTGGGTTTGTCCTAAATGTTTGATTGAGAGTCTGGCACAACACAGCGACTTGCAATCAGCGTATTAAATAAAGTGACGTGTTTAAGCCGTGTGTGTCTGTTGTGTCACTTGTCGCGTCATTGTCTATCGTCATGGATGTCCGTAGTTTCATGCCTGCTGTTCTTCCCCTGGTTCCTGTGTTTTTTGGCCTTTTGACTAATAAAGTCTTTTGTTTTCCTGAGAGGTCTGCGTTTGAGTCCTGCCTCCCACCCGCATCCCTGACAGTTGTTGTTGTTTCCATCATCCCAACGGCAGGTCACGTGATCTGCAGGCGCCTTCTGATCACACTGTGACGGACGGACGTGTTGTGTGTGCGAGGTTACGCGTTAAGAGTTTGTCCTTAATGGAATTTCTTACATTACTTTTACTTTTATACTTTAAGTAGTTTTGAAACCAGTACTTTTATACTTTTACTTAAGTAAAACGCTTGAGTCGATACTTCTACAGGAGTCTTTTTAAACCCTAGTATCTGTACTTCTATTGCGTGATGAATGTGAAGACCTTTGACACCTCTGGTTTGTACCAACAAATAATGGCAGTTTTTCATTCTAAATGACGAGAACATTGACTCAAAGAGACATCGCTCCCTCTGACCGACCCGTCCCGCCCCCTTGATTCCTCCTCCCTAGGGTCCTGCACAACTACATGCTGTGGCGCGTGGTGGCGGCGCTGAGCGAGCACCTCTCCACCGCCTTCCGCAGCTCCATCTACGAGTTCTCGCGGGAGATCGACGGCACCGAGCAGCGCCTGGAGCTCAGCCGGCTGTGCCTCACTCAGACCAACAAGCACTTCGGCATGGCCCTGGGGGCCCTGTTCGTCCAGCAGCACTTCTCCACGCACAGCAAGGCCAAGGTAGCCCCATCCTCTCCTCCGCCCGGCCCAGCGGCCTCCTGTGAAGTTCATTTCGAGGTCCGTGTTCTGTGTCTGTGGCCAAAATGTCACTCGGGCAGCTTTTGCATGTTGGATTAGAGACTAAAACCGAGACAAGCTGAAAAAAAACGACGGGACCCGAAGCGGAGTCAGACTCCTCACCTGACTGATGCAAGCCAATCGCTGCACTGCAGGGGTTCTCCACCATCACACGCTTCTATGTAGATCTATAGAAGTCTAGATGAGCATAGGAATATGAGATGAAGAAAAAGCATTGCCCCTGAATTACATTTTCATGACTTTATTTACTTACTAAACCATAAAACATCCCTCTGATCTTGTTTTATCTTTGTACGTCTTGAAGTATTTTCTTTTTTTTTCGACATAGTTTCTTTATTTTTCTTCTGGCTCATCGTTCGTCATTTCGCCCCTGAAGGACTTTGATTGAATCCTGACACCATCCTGTCCGATCAGAATGATCTGTCATCTTCCTGTTTCCCTTTCTCCATCTTGGTCTCCTGTTTCCCCCCGTGGACCCCGTCTCTTTCACCTTAACACCCCCTCAAAACGTATTCTTCACGGGGATGTGCACGGTTCCCGATAGCATCCCTGACCTCCTGCAACCCGGCGCTCCTCTTTGAGCTTCATCTCCCTTCCACCTCCTTCCTCTCCTTCTCTCTCAACCCTCCTCGTCCCACACCGAGGCCTCAGGTCGGAGGCCTCATTACCCCAGAAGCTACCTGGACCCTCAGTCGGTGTGTCGGCCTGGATTCACTCGCCTCGGCGGGGGGCGAGAATTAATGAGCCTCGTTATGCCGGATCCCTCACAACGCGTCCCGCTGCAGAATAAATATTTTTTTAAAAACAAGTTTGGGCCGTTCGAGATGTTCATGGAGAAGCAGCAATGCGATGAGTTTGTAGTGAATTATTATTTTTGGGGGGATCTTCCGAGACGCGCTGTAGTTCCAGCAGCACCAACTTAACGCTTTAAAAAAATCAGCTGATCAATTTTAAGAGTCAATTTATCTCAGTTGTACTTTTCATTCTTGTCCGGCTCTCAACTTAAGATGATCCATTTCAAAGCTTTGAACCACTCGCTGAGGTTCTGGTAGCTTGTGGTAAATGTTTTATTTTAATGTGCCGGACACGTGAGTTATTCACAATTAATTTCTTCTGCTGCTGCTGCTGTGTAAATATAAGCACCAGCTTGAGAACCGAGTGTTTTAGGATTAGATGGGGCCAAAGAAAACGTGATCAGGACATCAATATTATAAATATACTTCAAGTTGCTTTGCTCAGAACCTCAATTCCCCTCAAGCCACAAAAACACGGACGTAACAGCCTCAATGAACAACTCTTGAAAGCAGCCGAAGCAGATCTGTGATATTAAATTGAAGTGGAGGCCACGTCCTCTATGGAGCAGAAGAAACGTTCCTGTTGGTGGCGGAGGTGATTTAAAGTTTCTCGGGGGCTTTGCAGCTGACTCACGTCTTAACGTACATGCCGCCACCGTCCTCCGGAGGCCACAGCGTCTCGTTCCCGTCACTTTGACTTTGCGTTAGTGTTGGCGGCTGTAAAATGGAGCCGCTGCCATGCTGGTTTTTTTTTTTTAATGAAATCGAAAATTTCGGTGACGGTTGAACGCTTCGACATCGCGGTTTCAGCTGCAAAAAGGGTCAGTGGCAATTACATATTGGACATGGGGAGTTCACATTACTCACAGACTGGGTTCACAAAGGTGAAAAGAAATCCACCATTCAGTGCAAATCTTCTGCTGGTGGAAACGCTTCACTGAGAGAAACACAAGGCCATGCGCAATATTTCAACTTAGATTAGAATTTCTCTTACATACTGTATACATTACTTGGTAGGAAGGTGGTAATATTATGTCACAATACTGCTGGTTTTAAAGATGTTTTACTGTGAAAAAGTCTGTTACATGTTTAAAGGAGAGTATGAATGTGATATAAAATGCAATATATGATGCTGTTGTATTAAAGAACAGTTCTTGCCCGTTCAGGCTCTGCTCATCACCAGATTCCTCCCCCAGCTGATAGCTAACACTAGCCGTGTTTGTTTTTACGTTCTTGTTGGTTGTTTGGAGGGCGTGTCTTTGGGGGCGTGTCTTTGGGGGCGTGTCCTTGGGGGGCGCGATGCTGCGAGCCTCTTTAATGGGTATTAGAGTTTTTTTTACTTTTTACTCAAATTCTGTTCAGTGCACAAATGTACACAACGCCACTTCAAACCACTCAGGGGAAATATAATCAACAATCTAAAGTGTATTGAAATCAAAGTGCTTTCTCCCGTGCCTCTGTGGTGAAAGCTCCTCCGTGTGACGCCCCTCCAGGTGCAGGAGCTGGTGGAGGACATCAAGCACTCGTTGGACCTGCGGCTGCAGGACCTGGACTGGATGGACGAAGCCACCAGGGAGGCTGCCAGGGCAAAGGTTCAGGGCCCCACTCTGCTGCTACATCACAAGAAACACCGCCGTCAGATCCCATTAGTGTTTGAAAGGGGATTTAATTATTTCTTTGGGATTCCCTTTTCTCTGATTGATTGCCTCGTTAGATGGGGGCGTGTGATAGAATACATCAAGGGCTTGACATTGAGAAGTGGGGATCACCTAATCCGGATCTCTCTGTGGTGCCGATTTAGGGTCTGCACTGCAAGATATCCTTTTAATACTTTAACAATCTGAAGTTATAATCCCTTTAGAGGGCCATGCTGAATACAAAGAGCTCTGCTGTAATCCTATTACATTGAGTCTGCTTGATTAGTGTACGTGCGTGTGTGACTGGGTATTAGTTCCCATAAAAGGATGACGGGTGACGTTGGACCGGTTGTTACTCCTCCATCACTCTCCTCGTCTTCCTCTTCTTCTCTCCCAGCTGAAGCACATGATGGTGATGACGGGATACCCGGACTTCATACTCAAACCCGAGCTCATAGATAAAGAATACGGGGTGAGTCCCGAGCGTCCCGTTCCTGGTCTCTCCTCATCACACACACAGGCAGATTCACAAACTCAACATCCATCCCTCCCTCCCTCTCTCTCTCTCTCTCTCTCTGCCACCTGGCTGATTGTATTGAGATGGAGCAAAATAAAAATTACACCACCCGAGGCACACAGCTGAGACTGCTCAAAATAAAAATTGCTCTGTTAAGTTCGTTGATGCGACCGGGAGGGCGACACAAAACCCTTAATAGCTTTGTGTGGGCCGGTATGAACAGATGTGCATGTATATGTACATCTGTATATATATATATGAATGTGTGACCACAGATGTTCTTCCGGCTCCAGCTGTTTTCTTCCTGTAATCTCACTGACGTGACTAATCCTTCGGGGGTGATCTCGCAGTTCGACGTGGACGAGAAGACGTACTTCAAGAACATCCTCAACAGCATCAACTTCAACATCAAGCTGTCGGTCAAGAAGATCCGGGAGGAAGTGGACAAGACGGCGTGAGTGTCGCCGCTGATGTTCATTAACCGGCTGAATGTGTTGGACGCGGCTGACGCGCTTCCTTTTTTTCACTTTCTCATTTGACACATTTGTTGATTCGCCTCTAAATTAAACCAACAGATAGAAAAACAAATTCGACACGCGCATCTGGAGAGAATCCATTTGATTTACTTATCTGCAGCATGCAGGCGTGCTGCGGGACACGCGCCTCCTTTATTTATTTATTTCATACACTTTTTTTTTTTTTTTAAAGAAGTGAACCACAGCTTTATTGACAAGCTTGATCGTCGCCCCAAAAGAGGGTGAAGCTTTCATCACTCACTCCGTCACTCCTCCCCCCCAAAAAGCCTCCCACACCTTCAACCAACAGGTGAAGGTGTGAGAGGCTGAAAGGGCCGAGGTGATTATCAAATATTAACTTGTTTTTTGTCAAAACGGCTTTGATAACCCACTGACTGTTTTGAATGAATAATGGAGGAAAAATGTTCCATTTTTAACGCATCATGTTTCTGCTGAACACACTGGCGCCGCTCACTGGAAACCCCGTGGTAAACATCGCGTGGCTATGAATTGTGGGTATTTTCTTTGGGCAAAGTACGGGGGCTCAAATTGTCTGCGAGTGATTGTGTGTGTTTTTGGGAGTGAATCTGTGCTGTTGGTCGTGTGTTTGTTTGCTTCTGTGACCCCTGTGGGTTTGATACCTGTCTCTCCAGGTGGCTCCTCCCCCCTCAGGCCCTCAACGCCTACTACCTCCCGAACAAGAACCAAATGGGTGAGTCACCGATGGGGCGTCAGTTTACACGTCCACCTGCTCATATCATATTCTCTGTCACTTTCTGCTCTGATTTGCCCTTCACGTGCTTAACACCCCCCTGGAGGAAAAACAAGCAGCAGCACCATTGTGAGTTTTTAACAAATCAGGCCTTGCGCTGTCTCCCCCCCCCACCCTCCACCTCATGTCTGCCAGCTGGATTAAATCTCTCACAGAAAAATCAATGGCCTGCTAGCGAGCTGATGCTAGAGGACGCTGACTTCTACCAGCCACTTCTTTTCGTTTAAATCATATTCGTATTGCTCACTTCACTCTTATCTCTTTGTCACTCTTTATTTCATTTTTAGCATCAAGTTGAGAATAAAGACACAAGAAAGAGATTTATTTAAAAGCAGCTGACTAACAGTGGATTTCAAGTGTCACATCCAACCCGCCTGCGTGCATCATCGTCGTTTTAGGATTTATAATTATTGAAAAGACCATTTTCAGATGATTTGATTTGTCTATAAAAATGTGAACAAATAGTCAGCAGCCTTGCTGGCAGCTGTGTGAGGCTGCAGGGCTTTGTGCTAAATTACAATGCTAACATGCTAACATTTGGTTACTAGTGCTAAATGTACAAAGTTCAGCTGAAGCCAAATCCCTTGTTGGACTATTGTCACACAACCGTTACCGTCAATCTGGGCTCCCAATTATAATTTCAAAGTGTGTGTGTGTGGGGGGGGGGGCGCCAGCCATTAATACACAAGAAACCATTTATATTTTTATTTTATTTTCAGAATATTTTTTTATTTTCTGTTTAAACAAATGAAAAGCTGATTTGTGGTCAGACTCTACCTGCACTCCTGCAAAGCTGCTCCAACTTGTTTGGTCAATACTGGCGACCAAAATCTGCCTCCAGAGGGGCTTTTAATCTCAGATTCTGGTATGAGTCTTCCTTGTCTTGTCCTGAATGGTATCTTTAAAGAACGAACCGTGTCCTTGTGCTCGCTCTGACAGTCAAGATTTAAAAAGTAAATTAACACTCGGTAAACATTGTTCTCCGGAGACAGTTTGACTTTTATAATCTGTGTTCTTTTTGGCACAACAATGCAGAATCTGTTCATAGAGATTAAGTTGAGGCTGATTGGATGATGCAAGTGTTGCAGATGGATCCACTGGGGAGAAAAGATCACCGCCGTTATTAAGATTCATTAGAATTTATCCCGACGGGGGAAAATGAACGTCTGTGCCAATATTTTTGCAAACCTTTCTTTGGTTTCACAGTAAGAGTGAAAATGGAGGCTTGCTGGTGGCGCTTAGATGGACCGTTTGGGCAACATTAAAGCCACCAGGAGTCATCCATGAATTTACTAAATGAACCGAAACCAGGGACTGAGACCATGAAGTCATGTTTGCAATGTTTACAGAGGGAAGAAATCAAGAGTCATTTTCTCATCATAAAGCTGCTGGACGAGGTTAACAAGTCGCTGGTAAATGGAGCCAGAAGTCGCTGCCGCGGAGGAGACGTATATGCAGCATGTTTGCTCTGTGTGCTTGAAGGAATTTGTGCAAATAGAGAGACCTCGTCCTCAACATGTGCTGCACCATCGCGGCTGTAAGGCAGCAGTGATTTCCATTTCCTCCCTAACTGTCGTCTCCCACCTAAAGGAGACCGTATCGACGCGCTGACTTTGATGGAGGAGAGAAATGACCTCTTCCTCGTTCTGTGATATTCACACGGGTCGTATCTGCATCACCTCCCTCATGTTGACCCTTTATCTCCTTTTTCCCAGTCTTTCCTGCCGGCATCCTGCAGCCCACGCTCTACAACCCGGAGTTCCCGCAGTAAGTGGCGCGCGCTTTGGTCCTACAGGGAGGCAACGGCGTCACAGCAACAGAGGTCATGGGAGGCCACGTTGGTCTCCAACGGCCCGAAGACCCAACAAGCCAATTTAACCACCCAGCAAGAGCTCAGTCCCTGGACAAGGTGCCGCTAATGGAACAGGTGTCATGGAGAGGTCGCCTCCCTAAATTTGAGTCCATCGAGTAATTTGACGGCGCACAAAAAAGTAGATGGCCTCCCCGCGTCCCGACTCGATCGCTTCCATTTACCTCAGCGAGCTCCGTGTGATGAGGAATTTGTGAAATGGAGTCACGGCGTTATTGGAGGAAACTTTAATCAGGACACAGAAGATTCCCTATTCGGGAGTTAATTTAGAAAAAGAAGCCTATTTTAATCAAGGTGTGACAGTACGGGGTCATTGTGTGGCCAAAAATATTTCTACTAAACAGTTGCTGCAGAGCCGATGTGGTATTTTGTGATGCCTGATAGATATTTAAACAAGGAGCAAGTATTTCCAAAAGTACTTTCTAAAGTAGCCCACAAAGGCCGAAATGAATTAATCATCTTTATAACAATACAAAAAACTACAGGAGGAAATGATTGCCATGAAAATCTGAATTTCATCTCAGGAATCAGGAAACATTTATAGCCAAAATATGTCAAACATACAAGGAATTTCTACTAAATAGGTCATTTTGAAGGTGCCCAATTCAAAATGAAAACCAACAACACAACTTCAACACCAACGACTTGTGATTTCTATCTCAGATTTAAGCTTTTAAACTTGAAAATACTCGACACTTCTCCCGAGCACAAAGCACGCTCTTATTTTAGTATCTCAAAATCGTGCATAATTCCTCTTGTTTGACTTCAAGTCCACTGACTAGAACATTTTTAACATTGGTGCGCTACAACTGAGAGAAACGCATTGCATGAAAAGAGAGACGTGAAGCAGACAGTTGTCTTGCATGGATATTGAACACTCCACATGATTTCAATGCTTACCCTTCAGAATACCAAAAACTAATTGTTTTCAGTGATGGATTACCTGCCACTAGTCACCAGTTTCACCGCTCTGCAGCGGAAGTGGCATGAAATCCAATCAACCAGCTGCCTGGAAGATATAAAGTCATTACAGTCATCATAAGCTCATTTTTCTGCCTGCTTTAGAAAACGGGAAATAGAAACCGATGCACTGAAGGACGAGCAGGTGAACCACTACTGTTCTTTCACACGGCCTTTGTCAACCAAAGCTACTCTGCTGCCAGCGTTCAGCATCATTCCAACAGTCGCTGCAGCTCCTGCATTCATGCTAACGCCTACTAGCACACACACACACACACACACACACATCACGAGTGCAATGAGCCCTCAATCAGCCGGCGAGAAGCGGCGAGTCTCCTCCTCCATCCTTCGCTCCATCTGCGTGTGTCGCACAGACAGCAGCTTTGGCCCACGGGTCAAGAAGAGGTGGAGCAAGCGGCTGATTTTTGGGGAGCGCGTGGACGTGTTGCGGCGTCCAGCACGTTTTCAGCAGCACCGGGAGGACGCCCCCCCCCCCCCCTCACACGCACCAGATGTTTTCTAATCAGTGTGAGCACGGGAACATTTGCCATTGAGCTTTGTTTTAGTCTCTTTCTTTTGTAGCACCCGTATCACCACTCTGTGAGTCACTCACGTGAGAATGGGGGGTGCTTGGGTTCGATGTATCGTAAAACCTTTTAGCAAGAAGCTATTTAAAAAATAAATGAGACCCAGAGATGGATGTTCTTTTAACAAAAGTAAAATAAATAGGGCAACGCCCTTGTTTATTTAAATACAATAATTAATTTCCCCCAAAACCCAATATTACCAAATAGAGAAAAATAAATAACCAAAACTTCCCCAAAACATAAATAATAAACTCCAAATTCAGTGATACCAACCCAATAGTATCAAGGACGTTACATCAAAATATATGTTCGAAATGGTCCCGTTCCTCAACTCGGAGAATACCAGAGTTCAACAATAACAACAAAAACTTTCCCCTCCAAGTGTCATGAAACAAGTATCAGCCGATGCGGTGTTGGGCCCAATCACCACACACAGCCACACATGTTCCAGTTACTCACGGCAACGATATGTACGGAAAGAAAACACGTTGCAGACCTGTTTGGTCTGGCAAAACATTGAGAGCGCCGAAATCACTTTGAAAACATTGAGAGCGTGGAAACTCGGGTCCGCGATGCGAGTCACCGACACGTCCGCCCGGCCACGCCCACCGTGGTTAGCTAGCTCGGCTCCCTCGATGGCGACCTCCGCTGCTTCTCCCCGCTCCGTCCGACGGGGTTTCAGCTTTGGTTTCTCCTCCGTTTACAGGCTCACAAACACACCGAGTCCGCGGTCCACTCCTTCCAGCCTCCCGCGCCGGTTTATTCTGACTTCTTGTCTCCTGCTAGCGTTTTTTTTCTCTTCCCCAAAAACGCCGGCGTCCCGTCTCTTCACGACTTCTTCTCTCCTCCTCGAACCCCCAAAAACTTCCAGAACTTTTCAGTCACGTGTCTTCCCCGTTGTTCTCCCAACCAATCACCATTGGCTATACAGCGCGAATACACAACTGACCAATAATACGGTAACAAACAGTAAGTACTAAAAGACTAACGGCCTAAAGCCTCTGGAGATAGTATTTAACTAAACATGAACTTAACATTAGTATTCATCACTATGACAAACATTACTCCATGCACAACAAATAAACATCTCCCCACTTAGAAATCAGGTGTCCCCTATTATGTATTTAATGTAAAATAAACATTTACTTTTTCTTTTTATAGGCAGGCACCTAGTTTTGAAAGTATGACTATAGTCCTAAGGTCACCAGGGGACTACACTCTCCCCCTTCTGGACAATTTTGATGCCCTCATCAAAATAAACCTTAGAGAACTCTAATAGTCTACCAGCCAACACTAGAGACCGGATTAAAACAAGTGTAACACAACGCCATGGGGTGGCACCAGAGA